TCCTTTCAGTTCATTATTTTTGATGTACACAATATAACATATATTTGGATTAAAATAATGTACTTGTTTTCAATTAACTAAGGATTGGAATGTGATCATCCTTGGAATTATTTAGATGACTCTGGAGGTAGGGATAGACTTTTACAAAATGATTTGGCTGCAATCAGCATGGCTATCCTGACTCATTGCTGGAACAGAAATCGCAATGCTTGTAATGCAGCCCAGCCGGGATGGTTGATTCTCCACATTCACCGGGCTGTTAGCATTAGAGAAACACAGTTTCACGCTCATCAGGGAAAGCATAAAATAGAAGAGATGTCATTACGACTGATCATTAGTAACACGTGCAGAATTGGAATCAAGAAGGTGTTCCTTTCCCCAGAGCCAGGTGGATGGTTCTAGTTGGAAGGTGCCTTTGATAACAGAGCCATCAGCCATTTTCTTGGGGGGTGGAACTCACTGGTTGAAAAATTAGTTAATGAAGGGCCCATGAGTAAAAACATGAAAAGTAGATGAGCTGGCCAGTGGCTTGATTCCTTTTCTCCCTGAGGATTCTGTGGGGTTTTGATGCACAGGTCACCCGAGCATCTTCCTAAGTGCTTTTCTGGAACAGCTGGAGTTTGGTGGGACAAGCAGAGGACAACTTGCTGCCTCAGGCAATGCTTTACCTTTGACAGATTGCTGAATGACTGGCAAATTAATTTTAGCTCCTTTTCCTAAGTCATTTTGGTCCCATTCCTTCATTTTTCTGCAGAGAAGTGTTCACATTACAGTTAAAAATACATTGACAACACAGATGTGGAGAACAGCATGTACTATTTTAGGAAAGAACTGGAGGCTCGGATGGTTCCATTGTATAGAATAGAATTGATGCCGTAATACTCTATGATGAGTATTTCAACTTGATATGAAATCATTGTTACTCCTGCTGGCCTCTCACAAAGTCATGGGCTCCATGGAGTAGGATTTTGAATCCTTGAAGTTGTTCTGATCTGATATTTCTCTCTTAGGTGCTTATATACAGAAAGTCTTTCCTGGCTCCCAAACTTTAGCATCACTGCTTTCCTATATTGACCTATAATTTCTAGCCAGAGGTAATCTGGTAGGTGATTAAGAACATGAACTCTGGCTCTATGTAGTTTGGCTCAGTGGATAGAGCATCAGCTTGCAGACTGAAGGGTCTTGGGTTCAATTCCGGTCAAGGGCACATGCCCGGGGTTGTGGGCTCAATCCCCAGTAGGGGGCGTGCAGGAGGCAGCCAATCAATGATTCTCATCATTAATGTTTCTATCTCTCTTTCCCTCTCCTGTTCTCTCTGAAATCAATAATATATATATATATATATATATATATATATATATATATATATATAAACAAAAACAAAAAGAAAGAACATGAACTCTAAATCCTGTTTGTCCCACTCATTGCTTTGTAACCTTCAGGGGGTTACTTAACCTCTCTGTGCCGCAGGGTTGTCTTTTGTGAAAGGCAAATCATCATGACCAAACTCACTGTACCCTCTCTAGATCTCTTTGTACACTGGCCTTTCCTCTGTGTTCAGCACAGCGCCTTAAACTGGACATATTCTACACTTGTTTTTCCCTTCCTGAGAGTGCATCTCATTGCTGCTGACAAAGATAAAAGGAACCTGCACTTCCGCTTTTCCACACCAAGTCAGAGATGCCATGCTTGAGACAGAAAGGTAAACCTGAATAAGAGGTCACCATTGGCACCCTGGCTTGGGGATGGAGAGTGAGGTCTGCTGAGTGGGTTGGTGACCACTGCAGTGTCATAGGCTGGGTGCTTGCTTGCACATGACTCTCCTGATGGGACTGCCCGTGACTGTCCTTATTCCATCACAACTTGTCATTCTTGCCCCTAAGGATGAAGGCATCTCCATAGTAGTGAATTACTGATGCTTCTGCTCTTATGTGGTACATATGGTTTTTAAACAAATTTAATTGTGATAAGAATATATAACATAAAATTTACCATCTTAACCATTTTAAGTGTGTGTTTTTTGTTGGTGGGGGGAGGGTGTTGTTTCTTTTGTGTGTGTGTGTGAAACATTTCTCAGAAACCAGAAAACATGTTGACTCATTCATATGAAAACAGTGTTAAAGAGGTGAAAAACTGGTTTATGAATTTAGACTCCTCAGCAGGTATACGGAGAATTTACTGCTACCATATCCTCACTGTAGATACAGCCTGAGAGTCTGCCTGTGGATGTGCAAGAGGCATTTTGCTTTCCAGAAAGTTAGGTATATTTTTCCCCAGATTTTTTGACTTTTGGTCCTTAAGTATTTCAAATCTGCCACAAAGGCAGACTTGTAGGAAAAGAAATGTGGAGAAAGTCAGTAAAAGTCAGATGTTTCTGGTCAATATGTCATAGCTGGATATTGTTGGTGCTTTTTCTGGCAAAGAGAAAAAAATATGAGGAAAGAAATACTGGTTTAAATAGATTTTATCAGTAACTAGAACAGGTCCTAAGATATTTAATACGCTCAACAAATATTTGCTGAACGAACTAATCAGTGAAACAAATGATTTTTGCTAAGTTCAAAACAAACATGCATACTACTGTTGTTGCACAAAAAATCTATTTCTACTTTCAAAAGTTTAGTGACTAACCTACAGTAAAATTTGGTCTGAAGAGTAGTTCCATTAGGACACAGAGACATGAAAATCCTGACCATACCTAAATGGACAATATGGAAACCCATTAACTGAGGAATATCACTAATAATTAAAAATGATTGAGATAAAGGCTCATTTCATTCTTTTTGAAAATCACTCTAATATTTAAATAAGGAAGGTGTGGAACACATTATAAAATTATGTCCCTGCCCTGGCCGGATGGCTCAGTTGGTTAGAGTGTTGTCCTCTCTACCAAAAAGGTTGTGGGTTCCATTCCCAGTCAGGGCACACACCTAGGCTTCAGGTTCAATCATTGGGGGTGCATTCAGGAGGTGCATCTGGGAACCAAAGGATAGATGTTTTTTTCTCACACTGATATTTCTCTCTCTCAAACCAATAAACATATCCTCTGGTGAGGAATAAACAAACAAACAAACAAACAAATAAATAAATAAAATGGAATGTCCCTGCTGAAAGAACTGGCCAAATTCTTCTTAGAATACAATTTGTTCTCATAGTTCTATGAGGACTTATCATTGGCATTCCCTTATATGCTCTCTTCTTTACCATTAAAACGTTTTGATGGTACAGTGCCCAAAATGTTCTATATTTCAAATTATTTACTGAAGACTAGGCTTTCTTCAGGTAGGTTAGAATTAACAATGTTTGCTTAAAAAAATCAGCAAACTTTTATGTGAGAAAAAAGAAGTTGAAATCTTATGATTTGAGGAAATTAGGAAGTTTGTGCTTAGGCTCAACACACTGCAGCTAATTTTTCAAATCATACAGTTTAGCAGCAGAAATGGTTGAGTGCCTTGTTTTTTAAAGACCCCACTCTGGGGAAGACCGATTCGGAGATAAACAGCGGCACCCAGCAGCGGTGCATGGCTAATGGGAAACGTGTGGGAGTAGGTTAGAAGCAGCTCCCACTAATGAGGTTAACCAACACAATCTAATCACCAGACTGAGCACAAAGCAGGCAGGCAGCCGAGAAGCGGGGAGCATTCAATTTATTTCTAAATTATTTCTGTGTTGTTTTTTTGTATTCCACAATGTCACCAAGTAGGTGGTAGGTGTTCATTTCCCACTCTTCACCAGTCTCTTTCAAGTTCAAACATTGAAATTCTCCAGTTAACTTACCATTGGACCATCAGCAAGATGCCTTTTAATTCAACATCTGCAAAAGAAATTATTAAGAACCACTTCCCTCTCATCCTTCCTCTTATTGAACCTCCAGTGGCAATGAACTTGGGAGGCAGCCTCTCCCAAGGACACAGCCTGCCTGCCTGCATGCATGGGGAGCGATGAGATCCCCAAACTCCCAGAGTGGCTAAGCATTCTTGTTGTTATTCACTTTATAATTTTTAAAGATTGATTCCAAAATAAAATAAAAATTCAGAAATTCTTAGCATGAAGAAATTTTTTGGGAAAACCAATTGAACTTGATTAATCAGACAAACCCCCCACATTTTAATGAAAATTTGGGTAAAACCTCTCTGAAACTACATTTTGTGTTTTGTGGTATTCAATATGGGGTTGGGAAAATCCTGCCCCCTCCCCCCAAAAAAGGAGAAATAGATAATTGTTTCATTGTAATATAACTATGCTCATTGTAAAGGCCTTCAGACAATTGAGAAATCTATAGAGAAAAGGTGTCATTGTATATCTCAGATATAACCACCATTAGTGTTTTTGGTAAAAGCTTTCTATATTTTTCCATAGCTTTACAAGCATTCAAATAATTATAAGTATTAAAAAAACAACAACACAAAACAGGATCAGACTATACACACTATTTAGTAATGTGCCCTTTTACATAATTTCTATATTAACATATACATTTTCATCATAATTTAATTTGTTGTATTTCATTGTATACATGTGGTTATTTCCATTAAATACCATTTGTGGTTATTTCCAATTTTGTATGAATAGAAAGGATCTTCTTATACATATGTCTTTGTATACTTGCCTTTGTGTATTTTTGCTATGACTACTTAAAATGGAATTGTGTAAGAGAATGGGGACTTTTATAAATATTGATAACAATTGTAAAATTGCTTTTCAAAAAATGTCACATCAGTTTACCTGCCTACCAAAATGGCAGGGAGCACCTATGCCTCTACATCCTTGGGAATCGATAGGTTTAAAAAGAAGGGGTGTTTTAAGAGGGACGTATTTCTAGCCTGTGAATTCAGGGCCATGGAAAGCTTCTCCTGGGCGACTTGCTTGTGTGTCTGGCTGTTGAGGAAGGTTACCATTGCATACCCAGTGCAGTCCTTTGTTCCCAGAATGGTAGAACTCAAGTTTTCCTTGTGTAGCCTTCTGCCAATATCTCACACCCTCTTCTTGCTCTCCTTCAGATTGAGGAAGACACGTGGCAGAAATACTACTTGGAAGGAGTCTCCAATGAAATGTACACAGAATATCTCTCCAGTGCCTTCGTGGGTCTGTCCTTCCCTACTGTTTGTGAGTAAGTGACCACACTCACATGCTCCTGGGGCCTCGGGGATATTCACTGGGTTCCCCTAAGGAAAGATGCCCACCTCCACCCAGCACAGAGGGGAGACTGGGCAATGTGGGACTGTGTTCTGCGGGCTCAGCCGTGGGCAGTGAATGGGAAGGTAGGTCACTGAGTGGTCGTTGCCTGGGGAATTTCTGCTGGCCATACTTTTCCCTCCAGTCCTGAGAATCTCAGGCGTGGTCCATCATTTGTACTAAATTAGGAACTTCATTTCCCCGCAGATCTTGAATTATGCTTCTGTGATGCAGACATATTTATGAAGGGGAGGCGTAAACCCATGTTTCTCTTATTTTACTAGCAATTCTTACTAGCCCCTTCATGAAAGGATTTTTAATCTCTTTCAATTAAGTCAGGTCACAGAGACATCAGGGAAGGCACTATTTAAAGTGACTTCTTGATTTGCCAAGGAAATGCAGAGCCACAGGTGCCAGAAAGAGACCTTGAAAAAGTCCCCAACATGGACAACTGTTATGTTGCAACTAGAAGCCAGATGCACAAAGTTCGTGCAAGGGACTTGACCCTTAAGGCCTTTGGCTACCTTGGCTGGCCCTCCCAGCCCTGGCTGGCCCTCGCAGCCCCAGCTTCGTCAGAAGATCATCTGCACAGTTGTTCTGCTGTTCAGTCTAATTAGCATATTAGCTCTTTATTTTATAGGATAGTAGGAAGGCTCAGCTTCTCCTGACCCTGGCTCAGCAAGACGGATTTGACAAGGGCAGCCCCAGCCATAGATAGAACAGGTGTCACCTAAGGGGTATGACCTCAGGAGCTTCAGGTGTCCTGGACCCAAGAAATTTCCACCACCAGGATGATGCCTCAAACCCCCCCTCCCAGCTTAGGATCTCAGATGCTGGGTTTAAGTCAAACAGGGGCTTTGTTCCCTGTGAAGACACCAACTCCCCGGAAGCATTGAAACATTCAGCCTGATCCATCGACCCCTTGGCAAGGGATTCGCTAACCTCGCTGATACCAGCTGGGAAGAAACGGGGGAATCTGGGGAGCAGAAAAGCTGTTCCCCTGTGCTGTCTGCCTATGTACATAGCACACCGGCCCTCTGGAAAGAGAGGTCTGAGGAGGGTGGCCCCAGGGCTCCTGGCTTGCCCTGGCTCAGTCCTGTTCTGTGTATGGTGGGGAGGGGCTGGGCTTGGGGTTCACCTGGGGACGCCTGTCAGTGAGCACAGCAGGTGTGCTCCTTCTGTCCATGGCCCAGATCCTGAGCAATCCAGAGCGGTTTGGCTGTTGACTGAAATCTCTCACCCTGTCTCTGCGCGAAAGTTTAGATGCTAAATGGACTGGAAAAGTGAATAGGTAATTGATTTGGAAGAAGTTATTTTCTGAGAATGGATGCCCTATTGTAACTCCCGTGGTCTCCTGTCTCTGAGAGCGATTTCTCCTTCTGAAACAGAAAGACGTTAACCATTCAGAGTCACTCGGCCCTGCAGCACAGAGGCCATCCCCGGGGACTTTCTCCCCCTCGGAGCCGGCCCGCCTAGGAAGCACCGAGAATTCGGGACTTCTAAGGGGAGCGGCTTTATAAACAGCAGCTGTGCCTCCTGTGCCTGGAGGAGGGGTAGTGTGGGCACACCCCAGGGCCAAGGGCTCCTATGGTGTGGGAGGCATTGGCAGGGAGTCCTCCAAGCCCTTTCCTTGGTTGTTAATGTCGCCTGGCTTGACCTGTGTTGACATTGAACATGAGTGCACCCTTGAAAGCCTGCCTGCCCCCTGCCTCTCTGTGGCTCCTGGGAACCAAATCAGAGCACAGGCATGCTGAGCTGTAGGGTTCGGGCTTCTCGCCCTGGAAGCGGCAACTGGGATACCCACAGGCTAAATGCGACCAGAAATTTGCCCACCACAGTATTTCATTTTTTTTTTTTTAAAGTTAATTGCCAGAATTTCAAAATAGAAGTATTTTACATAAAAAGTAGTTCTTGGCCCCTTCTGAAAATCTGATGATCCAACACAGGACTTGCCCTGAGTGCTACTGGCTCTAGTTTGCAGTAGAGAAGGTTTCATGCAGGCCTCCCCTTCCTGGCCACCTAGCCCAGGCCGGGTCTGCGTTTCCAGCCCAGTCTTGGCCTGTGGACAACGGAGCCTGCATCGCTGACCCCACTGGGCAGTGTGAAACCTCACTGCCCTGCGGAGCCAGCTGGAGAGCCAGATACTGGTGGCTGCTGAAAATCCTCCCCTCGGTTGATTTTCAAGTTTAGAACATGTCCTGAGGAGGAGCACATCTCTCAGACACACCTTGTTGTCAGAGAATTTAGTATTTTTTCGGTACAGTGGCAACTGGAACACAATAAAACAAAAGCCGTCTGATGTGAATGAGAATGTGTTCAACTTAGTGCCATTATTCGTTTAACACAATGATACGGCAGAGGTAGAAATAATCAATAAAGGAAGGACGTTTAATGAGATTTAGGAACATCCCAAAACATTGAAGCTCTCCTCAAGCATTTGATTATCTGGAGGCTTAATTATCTGTGTTTTCTACTTTAAATTAAAGAAAAGCCATAATTCAAAGTTACCAGCAGTTTAATGATAACACTCTTCAATTCAGGTTAATTAAAGCACAGCCGTAATTAGAGTGTAGTGTTGTATATCACTGGGCAGGCGCATACGTATTTTCATTACAGTAAGAATTGGCTACTCAATTTCAAGATGACATAAAGGATGCCAGAGTATATTTTAAGCTGCTTCCTGCAGACGAAAAAGAATTGGGGGTTATTCTGGGTGTAATAAAGCACAGATCAAATACACAGATTTTCAGAGCGGTTTCTGTAATTATGCATCACATTAAAACAATAGGCAGCACATAACATCTTAAAGCGTAAAAGAAATAAATGCACTCTCCCCGCAAGCTGGCAGCATGCCCCTCCGCAGGGTGGGATCACAACGTAGGAGAGCTTGCGTCTGTCTTAGAAGCTGAGACAGTCATTCTGGGGAAACGCAAAGGGGCAGCCTAAAGGGGTGACATTCAAGGTCTTTTCCCAAGAGAATACAATGTTGGGGGAAAAGAGGCAGGGAGGGCAGAAAGCCCCCCAAGGCAAGCTTTTCAAAAAATCTTAAGTGGAGAGATGCTCTCTCTTGGCCTAGGGAGGTGCAGCTATAGGCGGTGACTTCTGGGCCTCAGCTTTGTTCCAAAAACAGTGACTAATTTAAGATAAAATGAAGTATCATTTCTAAATATTTCAGTTACATTGTCTTGAATCCTCATAACGGCTCTGTGACTCAGTGGCATGATCCCTGGTTTATACATGAGGACTCTGGACATGCCTCCTTCCCAAGCCACCTCGCAGACAGAGCCAGTATTCCGACGCTGTGCGATTGGGAGCAGCTTTCAGTAGTTGCTAGATGAGGGCTGGCTAATTAAGAATCTCCCGGGAGCATATATGATGGAGAGGTTTCTAGGCTATATATTCAGATTTTAGTATCTGGGGTAAGGCCCCCACATTTGCATTTTTTACAAACAAATCAGGTGATTCGGATTCAAAGTTTGATGGCTGGGAACCCTCATGGTCCCCACTCCTCCATAGCACAGACTGGGGTAACCTCTCTTATTCCCCACGTTGGGCTCAAACCCTGGCCCAAGCATAGAGACATGGGTGGGTGTCATCTTGAAGCTAAGATTCAGGCCTTTGTGTGCACCCCCTGGCCATCCTTCCTTGGTTTGGAGCCAGGGACCAGCTGGGAGGTTAGGAATAGGGTTAGTGTTAGGGTTAGGGTTAGGGTGTTCTGCACTCTCCAGCAACATGGGAAGGAGATTGCACTCTTGCACGCCAGGCAGACAGCCGACTGCTCTCCCCACTCCCTATCCCCAGATCAGTAAAACAATGTGGGGCACCAAACCCACAATGTTATGTTATGTTTCCACCAGGGATCATAACTGCAATTTCAGGCTGGTGAGAACAGGTACACACTAAATGCAGAGGAGCCCAGAGGAAGCTCAGGTTGCAACGTTCCTTTTGGCCTCCTTGGAGGTCATGGTGGACATGTCCTGGACCTCCCCCAGAATGCCTTTCAGATGTTCTTTTTAGGGGCCAGAAACTCCTGAGCGTTCCCCTTTGGTTTTGCATAGCTGGCTTGTTCCTGGGCCCATATGGCAGCAAGATCAAGGTGAAGGAGCTTGGGGATCTGAAGGAGAGAGTGTCATCTGTTGTTGTCTGAACACCAGAAAACCACTCACTTTCTTTCCCTCCTGCTCCCCACCTTTATCAGCAGGTGACTGGAGGGCACAGGTGGCTAGGGTATGAAAGCAAGGGGCTAGGGTATGAGGCCATCTTTCCTAGGGAAGTGCCCTTGAGCAGTTTACACAATGGGATGCTGGGATGCTGTGTGATGCCATGCAGTGCCAGCTGTGGAGTTGCTGGATACATGATTTAGGACAAACGATTTGATTTCTGCATACCTCCTCCCTTTGACTATTATCAGCTGCCTGACCTTGGACTCTGTGCTTACCCCAGTTTCCTCATCTCTGAAAGAGTTACCTCTCAGAGCCAGCTAACGTCCTTTTCCACTCTTCCATCTCTCTTTGTCTCCCCACCCCCCAACCCCACCTGCTCCATCCTGCCCCATTAAGATGATGGAAGCACAGAGGAAGAAAACAATTACACTGGCGTTTTCAAGTTACAGCTACTCCTATCCTTTAGAAAACTCTGCCATCAGTCATCAGCCAATCAATTGAGTAGTTATTTTATGAATGTGGGATGTTAGTGCCAGTGTGCCAGGCCTGGTGCCATCTCTAGAGGAACCTGCAATTAGATTTGATCAAATATATGTGCAGGAAAAAGTTAACAACAATACTTACATATGCCAACTAAAGGATTCTATTTCCCTATAGTGGCTGCCTTCTGAGAGTTTGCAGTCTGGTTAAGAAACTAATCCCATTCCCAGAGACAACTGAGTGTATGATAGATCTACTTGAAGGGGGACAGATCCTGAGTTATAGGGAGACA